TGTTCATCAGTCTTTACTGTTGTGTTTGTGCTTTTGGCCTCGTGCCTCAGTTCCAGAGATGTAAATGTGCACTGTGATGTCTGAAACAATAGTTCACTTCCAAAGTCAAGGCAGCAGTTTGTCGCTTTTCCTGTTTGAACACGACAGCGTACCTGCACACAAAGCCGCAAAGAAAAGCTTTTCCCAGTTCGCCGTGGAGGAATTTAAGCGGCGTTGCTTCCTTCTCCATCTCCTTTGTTCTCACTCCTTCCTCGTTTCCTTCCTTCCCTGCTTCCCCCTTCTCTCCTGCCTCCCTCTTTTCCTCGTCTGTTAGCTTTATTTCCTCCCTTTTGTCCCCGTCGCTGCTTGTTGTTGCTCCGCCGTCCGACGGCAGCGTTTCTGTCGCTCAATTGGAGGAAGCTGTACAATGACGATGACCCGACCTCCGCGTGCGCGTCTGCATGGGATGTCGATGCGCACACACATCCTCTGAGAAACCAGAAACAAGCCGATATTTTTAGATTTGCACCGAGCATCTCTCTCCGTCTTGTCTCTCCGCAGTCATCAACGCCGGCATGAGGAAGTTCTATCTGCAGGCCAACGACCAGCAGGACCTGGTGGAGTGGATCAGCGTCCTCAACAAGGCCACCAAGATCACCGTGAGCCGCACACATGTTTCCCACACACACCAACACGCCCACGGATCAATAGGTGACCCCGTTTTTTTGTCCACGCTTGTTGTATGTAGCGCTGTCTTCAGCCTCGGGCCACGGCAGATGGAAAAATTACCCATCAGGCCACAGAGGCAGAGTTCAGATCAGGGTCAGCAGAGTGCAAAAGCAACAGGAGCGCCGGGCTTTTATGTCCACCTGCAGCGCGTTCTGTCCCAGTCTGTTCGGGTTCTACGGAAAATTTTAAAAAAATGTTGGTCTTCCAATTTAACAAGAACATTATAATCAGTTTTTTTTTTTTAAGGGAGATTTGGCAAAGCAGGCACGCAGACAAATTATAAAAATCACGACAGCAGACATGGGACAAATCTGGAGATACACAAAACAAAATCCACCTCAGGAAGCGTTTGCACTTTTAGTTACACATTTTTTTGATCCAAGCTTTTATATATAGTTTAAATTTTATTCTTTTTTGACGGAGATCTGTCAAAGAAGTCATGCAAATTTTTTTTTTAGAAAAATGAAGCATCACGACAACAAAAGTAGGGACAAACAACCTAAAGCCTGAAGATACACAAAACAAAATCCACCTCAGGAAGCGTTTGCACTTTTAGTTACGCGTTTTTTTGATCTGAGCTTTTATATATAGTTTAAATTTTGTTCTTTTTTGAGGGAGATTTGGCAGAGAAAGGGAGAAACAACCAAAAGCCTAAAGATACACAAAACAAAATCCACTTTCAGGAGCATTTGCACACTTTAGTTACACATATGTTGTTAATTTTTTACAAAAAGCTTCCGTATTTTACTAAACTAGCTGAGCACCACCGCTTTTAGCTCAAACACGACAGCATAGTGCATTTATTAAATCTGAGCCGTAGCAGTTTCTTGGTGTTTTTTTTTTGCTTTTGTCTCATTTTTCCAGCACCTCTATTGAAACAGCACAACACATGAAATGCCATAAATCCTAAAAAGAAATCGAAACAATAATCATATCATGGGCGAGATTTTCCAAAACCTGAAGACGGAGCCAAGAGGAAGTGCAGGAGTCTAGCTTGAATTTCAGCATGCTGAGTTTGGTGTAGGTGTTTGGTGTCTGCTCCAGGATTAGGCAGCGTGATGATGAGGTCTCCGTAACGACGTTGTATCTGCATGAAAGGGGCTGGCTGTTAGACGGGGGATGGATCTGCTGCAGAGAGGGAGCAGGCAGGTAGGTGAAGGTGAGCAGGATAAAGGATGGAAGGCAGATGGCAGGCTGAAGGGCAGGCGAAGGAGAACCCGAGGCGCTCCGCTACCTCGGGGGAAAAATCAGAAGAAGAGCAAAGCTCGGAATCAGAGAGTTGGCCCGACGGCATAGTTGTCAGCGTGGGTCACGAGGCGACCTGGCAGAGGCTGGCAGGAAGCAGCGTGGAGGCGATGAGGTAATGACGAGCAGGTTTGCCAGCCACAGGTCGCTCAGGAGCCGCGCCCAGAGACCGACGGAGGCCCGATGCCAAACTTATGAAATCACAGAAGCTGTCTTCCTGCTTCCTGAGAAGTCTTCACCCTCCTCAGAAGTCCTCCCTGTTTCATGCTTTTCAACGCTGAGTCATCGTCAGTTTAATTTACCGTTTGGAAAAAAATAAAAAATGTGCAAATTGTCAAAGTGACAAAATGACGTCTACAAAGTAATGTCAGTTAATTAAATATAAATAATGTAAAATGAGACACCGCATCAATGTTGACCCGTTTGAAGTCGGTGTTTAGTAGATGCACCTCTGACGGGTTGCAAGGAG